CACTTGGACTACCAGAATGGTCGGAATAACTGGGTTATATATATATATATATATTTTTTTTTTTTTTTTTTTTTAAGAAAAGCTGTAACAGAATGTATCTCCAGAGGTTCAAGTGATTTTTCAGAAAATGTACAAATAAAAGCTACTGTATTCTACTGCAGATTATAGAGTTTTCTATTTTCTTTACTTTAATATCTCCGATGGAAAGTTCGTACATTAATCGTCGGTTATTGTAACATTAATAAAGAAAGAAGTGAAAAGCGTCTATAAGAAGAAATGCATACATCGCTGGATTCAATAGTAGAAAAAAATATGTAAAAAATATGTCATGTATTAGAAAAAAATATGATCAACGTACTACGATCTTAAGAAGTCAATTTCATTTTTTCACGTACAGACGTAAATGTATTCATTTACATACTTGTTAATCTTGACACATAAAAAATCAAACTGTTACTTGCATACTGATAGCAAGCATAATCTTTGATAGAGATGATGAGACGGTATTATGAAGCGGTATTATAAATAATACACATACTTACCGTTGCTAAAGAAGATTGTGAACCACTTTCTGGCATTGTATGTTTAGTTGTGTTTTCAATTAATGCAATTAGGAACTACAATACTTTAAGGTAAGTTGCTGAATTTTTCTCTATTTTGATTCTAGGTGATTATGTACTTTGTGCATAATTTTTCTTTTCCTGTCTATTTCGATTAGTATAGTCTTTCTCGTTTAATGCTTTGTTACATTATTGAAACGAGAAATCAGACAGGAAGAATATATAATGCATTTTTGGTAGATTAGAAACTACAATATTTTCTTATGACTTTAAAAGGAGGAAAAGTATTGTAGTCGTTCGTGACTACAATATCTCAGTGGTTAAAACAGTTAACCTGAAGCGTTTAAGGAAAAAATTGTAAAGTGTATAATTAGCTTATTTTTTATTCGGTGGACAGTTGTTCCTATCATGTAAAATGCAAGAAACATTAATGTATTGTATTAGAAACATTAATGTATATTAATTACTTTCGTGATGTAACGTCCGAAATGTAATATAACATATATTAATGTAATCACTTTCGATCAAAAAAAAATTCTTCAGATTAAATGATGATGGAATTGTAAATATTCTATGTATCTTTCATCCTTTGTTTATTTGGTTTTTGCTACAGAAACATTCAATTCAAAGTTCAAAGTACATATGTATGTTTTTTTTTTTCACAAGAACCTGAGATCTTGATCATTTCGTCGAAATATAAATTTGCAAAATACTACATTTGGAATTGATTAATCATCACGAATAAAATTTTCTTCTATAGATAAAATTATATATATTCGATAAAATCTTCTACATTTTGAATTGATTAATCACGAATAAAATTTTCATTTAGAACAGATTAATCACGAATAAAATTTTCTTCTCTCAAAAAACAAATAATCTTATTTTTCTGGTACATAAAATAATTCAAAGCGTATGATTTCCGAACATCATAAAATTTCTCGTCTAAATCTGAGCGTTTACTTAAAGTTCAGCACAAATACTTCACTCACAAATGGGATTAAATTAACTAAATTGAAATCTTTTTACTGTGACTGTGCTGGGTTCATCTGAAATAAAAAATATGAAGTGCTATTTTAAAATTTATTTTATACACATATATGTACTAGGATACTGCTTCGCATCAAGTTAAAAATTGATCTGGCGAGATAAGACTAAAATTTTCTCTCAATCAAAAATTAATCATACAACGAATTTCGTTTACAACTCTGAATCTCTACATTGCCAGCGCGTTAAAACCGATACGGTAAGTGGCTGACCTTCATTTCATTTGTCCGTGAGACAACTATTTTACTATAAAAAGCAGTAAATGCTGAACAATAAAATCAAATATTTTCAGAACTAAAATATATTAGCATATGATATTTTAAAACACAGTCACTAACAGAGAACAAATTCTAATATACACCCTGCTTTGCACGTCAAGCGAGAAATATTTGAAAACAATGAATTTCTTTACAATGAAGAAATCAAGATTCCATTTTATCTGTAATTTGTGTTTAGATATGTAGTATTCATAAACAAATATTCAAGAAAATTTGCTAACATTTACTAATGTTGAAAACATTTACTAAAGGAAAAACTTGTGAAAAATGTCTTTTTTTTAAGTATATTGTTTAAATAAAAGGGTTTTTTGCAAAACAGTATACGTCACTAAATTCGTCGTTAAAAAACGCTAATTTCATCAGTTTATACAAAAACGGTTTGTTCAATAATTTCTGAAATAGCTGATAAAATATATTTCGCATCCTTAATTTTGACGATAGTTTTCATCACTCCTTCAACATTGGCCATTGCCGATTAAAAAAAAATATGAGTGGAGTATTTTTTTGAGAACTACATTCGTGCCAAATGTCAACATTCCCTCGTTAATAAATCTATAAATACATAAAATTTCATGAAATCGTATAATAATGTTAAATTTCTTATTGTTAAATTATGGATGTTTATATAAATATATAAGAATACAAACGTATGTGAGATATACGCAAAATATATGCAAATAAATTTGCACATATTAACTATTAATTATTTTTGAAAGAACATAACGTCCTATTCATTGTAAATAAAATACTTCCCGAGTCCGTATACGTATTCACTTCGAATTCACTTGACAATAATACTCTTACTACTGTATTGGTGAATTGAGATATATCTGATTTGTCTCGAAAATTGTGTTTTCTCAGTCTCGCGAAGCTTTCCAACAGTTAAATTTGCAGTACAGCAGGAAATGACGTCCGCGTTCTTATCAACAGAAATCCAAACGTCTAAACCAATATTCTCTTGAAAGCTAGTCAAAACAGTCAAAGTAGAGTCATCTAGAACATTTTGTTTTGTATATTCAGTCAATAAATCTCTCCATAATTTATTATTAAAACATCGTTGAAATATGTTAATTGCTTGGAACATATTCAACAATTTCAAAAATTATTTTTCCTCGAAAAGGAAAATCTGGCTTCATTCTGTAGATCACTGCAAAAAAAGTATTCTTTAACATTTCTGTGTATCTCTGTTCGTACATAGTTGAAATATTCTACCACATTTAATTCCTCTATCGCATGCTTTACAATATAGAATTTCTCCCTCTATAACAATATAATTATTTTGTACAGATACAATACACTTCATCGTCACTACACAATTATTGTTTTTTTGATTTAGACATTTTATTTAATTTTTACGTATGTTTGACGATTGAAGATATGATTCATGCGAGACTCTCATTAATGTGCATATTTGCGGAATGGTAAATATACAAATCGTAGAGGATATCTTGAATTCGCTAATAGTGACGTAATGACACTAGCGGGATTAAAAAAATGGTGGGATAGGATTGGTAGTAGGGATGATAGTAGTATGATTAATACAAGTATAAATGTTGAGAAAAGCAACGTACAGTTTCAGTAGTTGAGCATACTTGCTGCAAAAAACTGCCATAGTCAGATAACACACAAATTTTTTCTCCGCTTTTCCGGTAACACAACAGGTAAGCAAAAATCATAAATTCCGTCGTCAAACTTTCATGTCGTATATCATTGTTCCTAAGAAGAGAAAAAAATCATATAAATATAAAAGCCCGAAAATTCTTCCTTCCCGGAAGATACAGATACATACATTTTTTGTTTATAAAAAAATTCGGTAAAGTGTCACTGCCAGATGCAGAATTTTAAGTAAAATTGTGATAGTAGTAGTGATGCACTTTGAACGTCCACTGTGTCGTCACTTATATTACGCGTTCCACTATTCATGGACTTTGCAAAAAAAAAAAAAAAATCATTGCTGTCACGCCTTTTATAGCCTTTTTGTACTAAATCATTTTTTTCCACAAAACTTTAACCGACTTCGATATCAAAAGTGATTAAAGTTACATTATTTACTCTATACAGAGATCCAATCAAGGTGACAGGTCCACATTGTTCATTTCTTTTATTATTCAGTTGCAGATATTGCGACTGAAGAGCCTGCAACATGGATAAAGTGAACATACAAGTTGATAACAAAAATAATATTGATAAAAAATTGAAGAAGACAAATTCCATTGAGGGATTTTACGCCAACACTGGGATCTTGGTGACGGGAGCGACAGGTTTTGTAGGGAAGGGAATCTTGGAGAAATTAATGCGTCTATGTCCAAACATCGCAGCCATTTTTCTCCTCATTCGTCCGAAGAAGGACCAAACGATAGAACAACGATTTAAGAAGCTCATTGATGATCCAGTTCGTAAATAATAACTACTTTTACATTTTAAGCCTGATACCGAATTGATGAATTTCATTTTTTATAAATTTTTCAGTTTCATTATATATATATATATATATTATATTTTTACATATTTAGTATATATATATACTTATAATATATATAAATAATATATTATTGTATATTTATTATATATTATATATTTATATTTATATAAGTATATATTTACTAATAATAAATAAATTTCAAGAAACAACCGTGTTTCCATAAGAATATTTACCATAGAATAGTGATTAACGTTTTTGGGACGATTATCGATCAATTATTAATTATTGCCAACAATCATAGTTGCACTGATAATATAATTTCTTTCGTTTGATTTTCTTCTTTGCTCTGAAACACAGTTTTCTTAGATATTAAATACATGTTAAAAACATCAAAAAACTACTATTACTATACAAATGTCTTGAACGAACATACTCGCATTCCACTTGTTCTTAGCAAAGAAACAGTTCTATATCAAGAAGATTAGTAATTAACTCTATGTTAACTATAAAAGTACTTAGAACAACATCAGCTACATCACTTTCTCAATTTATAGAAATAATCAATATAACTTTTGAATGACTCGCTCATTTACTCCGTTTTTATTTTCTATAAAGGAAGATTTTTCGCAAGACGGTAGTTTTAAAATTCAATCTCTACTAGGATTATCAACTAATCCTGTGATATTTAAGATATAATTTTGTTTCGTACTGCAGACGTTAATTAAAATATTATTTATCATATCAATTTTACATCAAAGTAAAAAGGAATATTTTGAAAATAAGAATACAGTAAAGTATACTTGAAAAATTCATCTTAAGAGAGCAAAGTAAATATAAGTAAAATAAAAAAAAGTAAATAAATTAATTTAAACGAAAGGAAATAAATTGAATACGATTTTTCACTTTATCACCATATCATGCGGATATGAAACGTCCCATGAATTTAAAAATTAGTGGAATATAGAATATTGTGAACAATAATATTCTATGTTTATAATACAAAAAACAATACATTTTAGAAAACAAGACACTTTCAGAGAAATGATTTTATATGTTTCCATTTTCAGATTTATGACAGCGTCAGAAAGCATCCTTCAGTTTTGAAAAAGATTCATCTTGTACCAGGTGACGTGGGTCTACCAGATTTAGGTCTTTCGCGGGAAGATAAAACTATGCTGATAGAGAATGTTAATATAGTATTTCACATTGCGGCCACTGTGAAATTCAACGAACCATTGGATGTGGCTATTAATACAAATACAAAAGGCACTGATCGCATAATCCAACTGTGCAAGGAATTAAAGCATGTAATCAGCGTCGTCCACGTTAGCACAGCTTACAGCAATGCACATTTATTAGAGATAGAGGAAAAAGTTTACACGTAAACTATTTCTTGTATTTTCCATTAATGTGTAAAAATCTATAGCTTCGTAATAATTATATTAAATATGTTCACATGCTACTAATTTTGCAGCACAAGTTTGACACCTTCTGCGGTGATTAAAGAATGTGAAAGCGAGGACAAAATATTGATCGATCTATTGGAAAAAAGAATTCTGAAAATTTATCCAAATACCTACACGTTTACCAAAAATTTAGCAGAACAGGTTTTGTCCAGCAATTGTGATAATTTAGCAGTTGCGATAGTGCGACCAAGTATAATTGGTGTTTCGTTAGAAGAACCATGTCCAGGTTGGATGAACAATGCCTATGGAGCTACAGGTACTTTTACAGATGATTATTAATAGTTATTTCAATTCGAACCGTGACAATAGATAATCGAGATCGTGAATAATCGAAATCCGATTAATCGAGAGAGATCCCATTGCACTTTCTTTCGCATGTCTTTTAATATTTTTAGTTTATTTAATACATTTTACATATATTTTATAATTATACAATTATTTTATATATATATATTTTTTATAAAGATTACAATATATTTTATAATATTTTATAATATTTATAATATTTATAATATTTTATATTTTAATATTTATAAAATATATTATATAAATATATTTTATAATATTTTTATGATAATTATTCGACGCGTATTTGATTACAAATGATTTTTCTCAAAAGATCCAATCGACCACAAATTTTCATTCAAAAGAATACTAATACCTTTTGAATAAAATTGTTTGAGAGACTCATCATCCAATGACTTTGACATACACGTATGTTATCAGAATTATGTTCTTGAATGCCTTTGGAGTTGTTTTTGACAGCTTGAGAGCTAACTGTTTTTGTTGAATGGCTATTAACAAAATAATATACACAAATAGAACCAATCTTTTTGACACTGATTTTAATTGTATTCAGGAAACGACGCTAAATACTACATAGTATAGGATTATACAACAGTTCAGAAGTTTACAGATACATGTGAATAATAGGTAATTTCTGACCTATTTGATAAAAGTTACAAAGATTACGATTGACGAAAAACTTTTAGATCCAAAGAGTTACAATAGAAGAATCAAAAAGGAATCGCATACTTGCCAATTCTATAGTTTCTTGTATTTATATTCTGCAATGGTTACTGGCGGTTGTAGTAGTATCCTACTGTATAATTTTCCAGAAAATTCTGTTCTGAAATACGCTAATTTCTCGATTCACGATTATTTCCATCTCTCTTATCGGTTCAGTCATTATACAAGAATGTTATTA